CTAGACCTAATAATGTTCCTTTTGGTAAAGTAACACTATTGGGTGTAACATTGTTGACCATGATATAGGTGGGATTCTTACCGATACTTACCATTGGTGTATGTGTTACCACCATCCCTAATTGTTGTATCTTGTTGGATAAACAGATTAGGGCATCAGAGTTTTCTAATCTCTGACCCTCCTTGACCTGTAGGGGTAAAAGAAAATTACTTGTCCCCTGTGGAATGGTTATGTCATCAGGAACTTGGATACTTACCGCATATGGGAGTATTTGTCCTGATTTCAGGGCGTTTTCCTCGTGTAGGTATCCACAAGGATTACCTTTTAACCTTGTCCACAAGTTGGAATTAATCAGGTCAAGGTGTATGGCAAAGCGATGTATGACATCATTGCCAACGTAAACCTGATAGCGAGGTTCGTTTATCACTAGGAATAAATGTTTAACGGTCTTATTTCCGATGGAAATAGATAGTAAACATTTTGCTATCACATTGTGACTCTCTGATTCGCCATCCAGGTTCTGTATCCACCTGTCATGTGGGGAAGCGTACCTGATCATTTTAGGATTAGTGATCTGCTTTAACAGACTTCTGCTAATATAGCTGTTCTCACTCTGTAAGTCCAGCTTTGCATTCCTACTTCTTCCTAAGTCATTTATTTGAATAGGAAAGAATAAATTGTTATTAACCCTTTCAATTCTGGCAAGGAATTGAGCATGACCTGCCAGATCTACAGATTCAACATAGTCCCTGTGGAGAGAAATGGTTAAAACATCACCTTCCAGAGAGACATTCTGGATCCTCTCTGGAGCAATTCTTATGGAATGCTCATCTACAGGTGCAATTGCATCATTCACCTGCAGGATAGTCACGTCAGGTGACTGACTATTTCTAAAATGTACCTCAATCGAGTCAGGTCTTTCTTCTATCACATGGCAGTTACGATCAGATTGAACATGTGATTTCTCATAGGTTATAGGAACCTTAGCTTGTGACCATACAATTCCATTCACACAGTCAATAATCGTGTTAAGTCTTCTAAGTATGTCTATACCCAGAATCAGTCGGTCATAGGGGAGATCTACCACTATCACCGGGTGTCTAAAGGTTTTGTTACCTATTTTAAACTTTAACCAAGTATTGCCAATAACATGAAGGGCATTTCCTCCTACACTCAACAGAGCATTGGGGAAATCTCTTAGCTTCGGCTTATCCGTTGCTAAGTCCATTACCTGCTGGAAGTAGGTATTGGATAAGATAGTGGCTTGTGAACCAGTATCTATTAACCCTTTAAAAGGCTGGGGTAACGAATCCTGTATTTCTACAGACATGTAGTACCTTCCTTCATGTTCTTCTAATTCACATAAGAATTTAGAATGTGTCAACATATTACTTGTTTTCCATACATTACCGGTCACAGCAGTAGTTTCTACCTGTACTGAGGAATGCTCAGTCTTACCCACAGGCCCATCCTTTTTAGGAATATCTTGAACTATCAAGCGGGAACTAGTGGTCGGCATCTCATCAGTTAACCCTTTCAGGTCTGGATCCTGGAAACCAGTGGTTGCTGGGGCTTCTTTAGCCTTTGGCTGAAATGAAAAAACAGAGGAACACGTTGCGCCTCCTTCACCCGGAAGTGAAGTGACGGTATAGGCAATAGGTTTTCTAACACAACTATTATTTGTTTGACTGTTTATACCTGGAAAGGAAACAGGGTTAGGCATTACATCTACTGATAACCTAGCCTGTTTAGTCACAGTGGCTATTATTGCTGCGGCACCTGTTGTTGTTGCTGCGGTTGCACAGGTAGTTCTGCAATTGGAGCTATCCCTAAAAAAGGATTTAGAGCAAAAACTTGGTTGATCTTCGTCATTCCCTCCATTAATTTGCCCATCTGGTCTGTCAATTGACCAACCTGACGACGCAAATTATTTCCCCCATTGCCGTTTTGTCTTTGCCCATTAGAATTTGGCTGGGATGGCTGAGACTGTTGGGAGTTATTGGAAGCAGATTGGTTGTTTCTGTTTCCATATCTCCTATTTCCCTGAGTCCATTGGGAATTGCCTTGGTTCTTATTAACCCAGGGGCGTTTATTCCCATTGGCATTGGATTTTTCAGAGTTATTAGAGGAATTTGCAGAATTGCTTCTAGCATTTTCCTGTTTCTGAGGTTTTGGAGATTTCAAAACCTCAGAATAGGTCCTCTTTTTCTGTTGGGTTTCTAAACCTAACTGAATTTTAGTCTCTGACACCATTTTATCACCAGGTTTCTTAACCTTTGGCTGATTTTCGTCATGTGCATGGTGTATAGTATACAACTTCATGCACTGACTGACTAGCCATTCTAATGGTAACTTACAATCGTAATCTCTTGCGAGATTCATTTGTATGTTTACCGGCATGGCATGAAAATACAGATCTTTGAAGTCTGTGCTTTCATACCTGGGTTTTCTTTGGGCCACGGAGTATGCATTTTTAAGAATTATTAAAAATTCTCTGGGGCTTTGATCTGGACGGCACTTTAAGTTATAAAGCGCCTTCTTTGCAGAAGCAATGGTTTTATACTTACCATATTCCATGATTATTTCATATTTCATCTTGGACCAGGACATTAACTGTATAGCTTGAAGACTTTCTAGATAAACACGGCACATTGAATCAAAGGTCCATGTAATGAACCATTTCTTATGAATGTCATCATACATGCCCAATGAATTCATTGCTCTATCATAATTTTCCAGATGTTCAGATATGTTTCCTGAACCTCTAGAAAATTGTGGGACAGTCTCTCTAAGGAATTTGATGACCTTTGGTGTTTCATAAACAGGCATCGTTGATTTACGACCTCTGTTTCTGTGTTTGGGTAAACGTCTATGCGATCTGTCTGCTGAAGAGGAATTAGACCCGTACAACAGTGCAGATGGCATATCAGTTACATGGCCTTCAGAGTGGACAGTGCAATCACTTTCACTCCCATCACTCTGAGCTTCTTGTTCACTGTCACAATTCTGATCAGCATCAGAATCCTGCCAGTGTACAGAACCATGTCTGTTTTCATTCCTATCATCTTGAATTGGACTCTCCCTCTCAAGTTTGGCCAAGACAGCTTTTTCAAACTGTTCTGCCCAAGATTGCCAAGGTGGCTTGGTAATGTCATGAGATGGGGAATCTTGTTCCACAGGTGATTTTTTAGAATTACTCACACCTTTACTTACAGACTGTTTTATGAAAACCTGGTTTGGTGTGGGAAAATCATAATAAGGAGGGGATTTACAGATAGTCTTTTCTTGCATTTTTGTGCAACTTTTTGGCACAGAATGATGACTACCAACCTCACTGTCTAATTTCTGACTCTCCTTTTCATATTCATCCAATTGCATTTTAAGCTGATTTATTTCCTGTGCACATTTATCCGTCAAAGCTTTCATTTCTTTTTCATGATCAGCCTGACGAGTTTTATGCTCAGCAAGTAAATCTTGGTATCTCCCATTTTGAATGCCCAAATCGTCACTGTACGTGTCCAATTTGGCATTCAATGACTTGTTTTCATCACACACCTTAAGAAGTGCTGTCATAAAGAAAGGCCAAGAGTGTATTATGAACGCCATTTTCCTTTCTATGTTCTTTTGTTCAGCAATTTCTTTAAGATATATGATGATGTGTTCATCAGTTAGAATGGTGTGTTTAGCTTCCCATTCTATGCTTTTCAACCAAACCTCATAGGTTGCATCATTTTTCATATGTTTATGAATATGAACTAGAGCATGTTTTCTTAGGTCTTCAATTATTTCAGTATTATCTGTTACAGATGTATTACTGGATTCAGCCATATTTCTATACAGTGATTTAATCTCAATACAAAACTCTTTTCTATATCAAGATTAAATTGCATGAATTACACCAATATTATTATTATATATGAAATACAATTTCAACTTAAACGATCTCAGCAGCGTGCCTCCAATATGTGGGGATATTTATGGGATAATAATAGTAACAGTTGAGAATTGCCCACTAATTCAATTCTCAGATCCCAAAGAACGTTTATCGTGTTAAGTGGAATGTATTTCATATAATTAATCTCACAATGTATAAAAATAAATTTTATTTATGATAACCAATAATTAACAAATAATATTATGTAACATGCATGACAATAATCAATGAATATTCAGTATAAATTGGTATGCAATACAAAGGAATGGGTATTACGTTTCAATGGCTAAAACAGCATTATCCTGTCAAGAATTCTGAGGATTTATGAGGTATCCTTAACACAGACTTAAGTGAAATTTTTCACAGCGAAGAACAGAATTCCTCAGAGTGCAGCGTAAGGTCGTAATGTTTAGCAGACAGTTAGAATAACCCTTTCAATGCTGGCTAGATCTCCTAGGTAGTTAAGATCTATTCTTATGTCATTTTTAAATAAAATAACATTTAACCCAGTTCATTAGCCGTTTCCTGAAATCATCCAATAAGAGAATCTACTATATTATATAAGCAGATTTTTAATTTGTCTAAAAGATTTCTATCTTAATTTAGAGCAAATCAATACACCTGGATAAAAACAGCGGTATGCTAACACGTGATAATATCACATCAATATATAATTATTCTTAATTCCACCTGCAGAATGGAATGTTTATAACTATATATTCTTTAGTTAACTAAGATTTCTTAATATGGAAATCTGACCGTGCTTTATCCAGTCATATATAATGCTATTAATACATTTTAATTAATTTAATTAATTAAATGAAACCAGTATAATTACCAGTTGAGTAGATATTTCATCCGATTGGTAGATAGTCTCAGGAACTTATTTGGATGTCTCTCTGCATGGAGGTTGGAGTCCCCAAACTTCCAATTCCTCTCTCCTCTCCTTTGCATCTCTTGCATCTGCTTTTCTCTCGTATTTTCCTATCTTCCCTTTGTCTTAACTTTTAAAGGGCCAGACTCTCTGTACGTCATCAGTTGATAACCCAATAGAAGCACTAGAGGTGTGGTTATCTTCCAGATCGCAAATTAGTTATTTGGTCTGTAGAGGGCAGTCTTGTCCCACTAAACATACCTATCCAGGAAAGAGTTAACTTTTCCTGGTGGCTATTTTGACATCATTTTGGCCTATCTAGATAGTGGCTATAACTTACGTATCCTTCAAAGATCAAAGGGGTTCTTAAATTTTGTCCAGACTATGTGTCTGCAAATCTGCTATAATTTCTGATATGACAGATCATGAACTAAGTTTACCCATTTCCATACAATGGTACCTTATATGTATATAGACAGTTAAATTTTATTATTTAATCTTCTCTGTCACAATTGTCTGGGTTTAGATTTGATTATATTCCATTAGCATTTTAGACAGTCTATCCAACCCCCTTCCTTATCACTTGTTTATACTATGCATTCCTTAGCTCTGGCAAAGAGGCCAGTCTTACAGAAAGAAATCTAGTGTCTTCTTTGTTAATTTGGAATAACAAAATGGAGTCTGGTCTGTTCAGAGTGACTCAGAATATACACTTTTAGTTTCTATCATAGCACAAAATGTCTGCCGATATAAATACCCTGACATTAGTATTCACTTAGTCACAAACACTAGCCAAAATTAGCGATATGAAATATGAACGCTAACTTTGGCCAGTGTTTGCAACTAAGTGGCTACTAAAAAAGAATGGGCATACCCCATATTGAATACCCTGGGTTGTCTACTTTAAAAAAAATATGTACATGTGGGATGTTTTTCAGAGATTTATGACAGATAATAGTGTTACAATGTCACTATTGATAAATTTAAAAAAGTATGTTTTGAAACTGCAATATCCTACTTGTACCTATAGCCCTATAACTTGCAAAAAAAAGCAAAAAAGCACGTAAACACTGGGTATTTTTAAACTCGGGACAAAATGTTGAATCTATTTAGCAGTTTTTTTCATTCACTTTTGTAGATGAGTAAAAGATTTTTAAAGTAAAAGTAAAAAAACATGTATTTTTTCAATTTTTCATCATATTTTTATTTTATTTTTATGAGATTATATAAATAATGGTTTGTAAAGAAAGCCCTTTTTGTCCTGAAAAAAACAATATATAATTTGTATAGGAACAGTAAATGAGAGAGCAGAAAATTACAGCTAAACACAAACACCACAAAAGTGTAAAAAAGAGGCCTGGTCGCAACACCGCAAAAACAGTCCAGTCCTTAAGGGACAAAACCCGCTATTTTATTGAATGGGATTCTACTGGATTATAATCTAAACATAGGGTCCCCCTTTTATTTATAACAGGTGGATGTTTTACTTCATGCAATGGTTTTAACAAAACAGTTGGCTCTTTTATCACAAAAGATGTGTCGTATTTACCTTATTGACAAATACAAAAAAATACAAAAAAAATGATACTGAACTCAACATAAAGAAAAAAATGCAGATCTATTAGCAGAACATTGCCAGAAACCTAAACAAGGTGCTAATATTTATGTATCAGGAGAGTGAGGATATAGAAACCCTAAAGTGACTAGTGCCTACACAATCAAAGTGCTAAAAATGTGCATAAAGTGCCAATAAAAATAATAACTCTATCCACGTTCTTATATATGTATCTATGCACAACCAGAAAAATCAAGAAATACTGGGTAAATATTCAAATGTATTCCACAATCAATAAGAAATAATTCCTGCAAGGTAATTTCATAAAGTAGCTGGTTTACTGACTACATAGTGCATAGTTTATTTAATCAGAGACCTCATTTAATATAAAGTTAGATTTCATCCATAATTGTATTTCTTGCAGCATATTTGTCACTGTACTTTGAGGGAGAAAAATTAATGCAGCAAGTAATGTAGAAAAAAAATATTTTCTTCCGATATTAAAAAGATATAATTTCATACGTATGGGGATATATGTGCCCATAAGTAAAAAGAAAAGAGAGAAAAATATTTTAAAAAAAAGAAAAAAATGTGTAAACATTAAAAAATGAGTAACAGTCCATATGTAACTGTACATAATCCTCAAGGGTATATGAATATGATCTCACCCATGCTTGGTAGTCTTCTCGCTCCAGATGAAAAGCAATGGTGGAATTGATTGTGGAATTCTAATGTGGATGGTACATAGCTCGGTTCCTGTTTGCGTTTTGCTGTTTCAATTAAACTTGATAGAGAAAGTCCTGGGCTATGCGCTCGGGATTTGATGTCCCTTTAATGGCCCAGGTTAAAAGAAAGTGTTGTATACACCAAAATAAGCTGGCTTTACCGCCAATGATAACCATCCTGACATTCCTCTTACATAATGATGTCACTAGGGTATGGTGGCCTGGAGTGTACAAATGTATAAACTTGCAAAGTAATATACATCAATTCCTAATGATATTATAGCGTCTTTCATCCCATAGTTTTCATTTCTAGAAAGCACATGCTTAAACACAATTATTAGACAGTTAATTATACAATCCAGCCAGATTGTACATTTTCATTAGCAGTGAATCTTAGCATCGTGTCTATCAATAGGGTGACTGAAAAAAGTGCAGTCTCAAAAAAGATGCCATAACTAATGGGAGTATGTCCATTAAAACAAATGTGAGAGTATTATAAAAAATAGTTAGAAAGGAATTCTGCAGTGTTTTGTAACTCTTAAATTATGCTTCAATGCAATATAAAAAAAAAAACAAAAAAAAAAAAACAGGCTAATGGTATTGCATGCCCTTGATTTTAATGTATATTTATTTTACATATATTTTTTTTTAATTCAAGTACATTTCTATCTGTTTGTGTGAAGGGACGGTATTACCTTGATTTCAACACCAAAGCATTTAAAGTCTGAGTTAACTACTGGCTCAGGGCCATGTGAGAGCATTTTTGCTTTTCAATTGTGAAGCATTTTGATCAACATTCTACACTATGAGAGCGTCTGATGACTATTTTAAGGTTTCAAGGTTGAAAGGATCGTCTGGAGTTGCTGTATCTCTTGTACACAGAGAGCTGGCTTGTATTCTGGATCTGTTCTGCCTTTTTGGGTGGAATCAGTCTGATATGCATGACCTGGTTCTCTCTGTAATGGCACAAGACGAGCTAAAACCATTTTGAGAATTGAGCGGGGAACCACCAAAGGGCAAGCTAATTGAGCTGTTGTTTATTCTCCGCACTCTCTTGTGACTTGTTTTTTGCTCTCCTTAAGTTTAAAGGGTAATCCAGACGTGGATCCCTTGCTCACGGTGCCTAGAGGGATATTGGCTATACCTCACTGATGATGCCTAACAAGGTTAAAATGATCGTCTGGGGATGCTGTATCTCTTGTGCAGAGAGAGACAGTCTGTATTTTGGATCTGTTCTATCCTTTTGGGTGGAATCAGTGTGAGATGCATGGCCTGGTTCTCTCTGTAATGGCACAAGATGAGCTAAAAAAAAAAGCTGGAGAACTGAGCGGGGACCCACCAAAGGGCAGGCTAATTGAGCTGTTGTCTGTTCTCAGCACTCTCTTGTGAAATGTTTTTTGCTTTCCTTAAGTTTAAAGGATAATCTAGACGTGGACCACTTGTTCACGGTGCCTCGTGGGATATTGGCTATACGTCACTGATGATGCCTAACAAGGTTGAAGCGATCATCTGGGGTTGCTGTATCTCTCGTGCAGAGAAAGCCAGAGAGTGCCTAAGAAGGTTGAAATGATCATCTGGGGTTGCTATATCTCTCATGCAGAGAGAGCCGGCCTGTATTTTGGATCTGTTCGGCCCTTTTGGGTGGAATCAGTCTGAGAGGCATAGCCTGATTCTCTCTGTAATGGCACAAGATTAGCTAAAACCATTTTGAAAACCGAGTGGGGTCCCACAAAAGGGCAGGCTAGTTGAGCTGTTGTCTGTTCTCAGTACTCTCTTGCGACTTGTTTTTTGCTTTCCTTAAGGTATCTTCTGATGTTCACCTCAGGAAGTGAAGTTGAAGATCGTCTTTGTTGACTTTTACTTCAGAACCATGTGTGTTTCTTTCAGCTACCATTACATTTTGTAAATCTGACACTATAAGTTGGTGTTCCTGTTCTAACAAGGTTATTTGCTGAAGTGAGAATTCGCCTGTGCGAATTCATCAGTTTTAATTTGCCAGTTCTAATTCACCTGTGTGAATTCGCCAGAAAATGTCAAATTTTCCCCCCGAATGTATTCAAATTTTGGAAACTTTATTTTCCAAAAAACGTGCACATTCGATTCAAAATGTATGCCTAAAATTTGAAATTTACTTTGAATTATAACTTTAGTAAATCACCCTATGAGTCTTCTTCAACATGTAATTTTGTCCTCTGTTTGACTTAAATGACTATATATATATATATATAGTCATGCACGGCACTCAAGGTGTTTTGGTGCCTGCGCTCCACCTTGTTTTTGAATTTTTGAATTACATACATTCTTGTGAGTTTAGATTATGATATGTTATTTCTTGATAGAAAGTGTGACTGTTATATAAACACTATTTTTTATTTTTATTGTTTTATTAAACAACACTTTAAGTCATCTGGAAATGATTTCCTTTGGTTTTCCAAATTAAATATGAATAACTCTAAACCATTGCGTCAAGAATTGTATTAAGGAATCAATATTTTGTAGGACTACAAGTTCATCTCATATAAAAGATTCCCATGTAAGATTATGCGCATTAATGTTTTACATAATTTAACCCATGTATTTAGAACAGTGGATTTTTTATTATTTCCAAATTTCTTGAAAACAACTCGAGGATACAAACTTGTGTTTAAATCGTATGTACATAAAGTAAGAGGATTAAGAAAGTGCAGGAGTTTAATAAACAAACATAGCATTTATTATAAAGGCAGGAAGAACATACAGTTGAAGACATATACAATATAAAATAGCTATATCAAAATATAATAACATTAGTGAGCATGAACTGTGGTACTTGTTTTGATACATTGATGTTTGACATTTTGCACAAGAAAAGAGAAATATAGAATGTTATATGGTAACATTTCTATTGCAAAATCTCAGCAGTCAAATTCATATTCCAGTTTACTCCATTCAATGAAGTTACCATAAATTGGCTGCCTCGATTTATAACTAAATTATGAACAGCAGCAGGTTCATTCATTTCATTAACACCATGCGAATGCTGAGTTAGAATAATGTTCTGCAACATCTTGTTGTATTAAAGTTTATGGCTTGCTGCCAAGAGAGTTTAATATCCACAACACTTGTTTTATGGAAACATGTTTT